CGTGAAGATTAGCTTGGGGAGGTGTTGGCGTCGTGAAGATCAGCTTGGGGAGGTGTTGGCGTCGTGAAGATCAGCTTGGGGAGGTGTTGGCGTCAAGTGAAGGATCAGCTTGAGAGGTGTTGGCGTCTGTGGGGATACAGCAAGGGAGAGGTGTTGGCGTCGTGAAGGTTAATCCCCGACAAACTGACGAGTAACCTAACCTAACCTAACCTAACCTAACCCAGCCCAAATATAACTTGAGACACATAAAAGTAGAATAGTCCAACACACACACACACCCACACACCCCTCCACACACACACACACACACACACACTCACTTACACACCCCCACCTCCCACACACACACACACTTACACCCACCACACACACACTCACTTACACACCCACCACACACACACTCACTTACACACCCACCACACACACACACTCACTTACACACCCCTCCACACACACACACACACTTACACACCCACACCCCCCCTCCTCCCCCACACACACACACTTGTCATTACTGTATATTATTTGTTTACACTGATTATAGGTTGGTGGGGCGAGACTGATGGTGTGGTGGTTCGTGTATAATTGCTGTTGATCTTTACTTTGTGGGTTGTGTCCGCTTCGTTAAGGGGGGTTTGTAAGCTTGAATTGTTTATACGCTTGAGCTTGTCTAGTTGGTAGCTGTGTGTGTGTGTGAACCTGTTTGCACATAGGTCAGAGAACTCACACATTAAGCTCCAATCTGTGTTTATGTATGTATGTATGTATGTGTGTATGTATGTATGTATGTATGTATGTTTGTATGTATGTATGTATGTTTTTTTTAGTTTAGGTAGACGTGAATTTCGCCATTTTTTCCTTTATTTAGTTTACCTGAGTTAATTGTTTACACATTTTGTTTTATTGTTTATATTTATTTTTGTTGTTCTTTATTCAGTTTTGTTTACTTGTCCTTTTCATTTTTCTCTCTTGTTTATTTTTCTTTCATTCTATTTGCTTGTTTGTTCTTGATTGTTTGTTACTTATTATTGTTGTTGTTTTTATTTCATTATGTTGATTTGTTTATGTCTGTTGTAAATTCTTTTCTTTTTTACATTATATTTTGTTTATCATCTTTTCTTTCATTTCCCTATTCGTTCTCTCTATTTCCTTCTTTGTCCTTCCTTTTTCCTTCTTATTCCCACATTCCTTGTCCTTTCTTTTCCTTTTTTGTCCTTCCTCTTTCCTTCCTATTCCTTCATTCCTTCTCCCTCTTTCTTTCAAGTTTCCTTCTTCGTTCATCTTTCCTTTCTTCGTCCTTCCTCCTTTCTCCTCATCCCTTCTTCATTCTCCTCCTTTCCCTCCCCCTTCCTTTCACTCCTTCCTGATCACATTATCGTGTTGTCAGGAGCTATGTTGTTTGTTTACCCCGGCTGCTCAACCAACTCGTCTCCTATTAAGTGTTTTTAATTGGTCAATCAGACTTAATTACCGCCCTCTCATTGGCTGTGTGCTCATAACACTCGTGGGTGAAGGGAGAGGGGGTGTGGGGGGAAGGATGTGTATGTATGTATGTATGTATGTATGTATGTATGTATGTATGTATGGGTGTTAAAAAAAGTCCATGTAAGATTTTAAAATACTTTTATCCTCAGTGGTTGTATTAGTATTGACACTAATAAGAATAACATGACATCATAATTAACATCATAATTATTTTTCGATAATAGTGCGGTAATGATGATGATGATGATGATGATGTAGTAATAATAATAATAATAATAATGATATAATATATATTAATGACAGTAATAATATTGGTAATAATAATGGCAGGTTATCGTAATTACCAAGTTATTTATTATTCAGAATACCATAATTATTCACAGAATCCTCTATATATCACAATGTTAATACTCTCTTAAACATTGCTAATCGTCTCTGGTATATAAATTAATGTATATAAATATTAAAATCCAGACACCACTTTAATATATATATATATAATATATATATATATATATATATATATATATATATATATATATATATATATATATATATATATATATATATATATATATATATGCTGAAACCACAAGGAAAGGAGAAAAACACGTTCCCAAGCGTGGCTCACATACCAAGATCACGCGCACCTAGTGATTTACATATATATATATATATATATATATATATATATATATATATATATATATATATATATATATAATATAATATAATTAGGACATTATTTCTCCTCTTCGTTAATTTGTATAAAGGCGTTGGCAGGAATATGGTGCTGGTGGTAGGTGACAACAGTAAGGTGGTGTTGACATAAGGATAGTGATCGTAGTCAGTGTGGTGATGGTGATGATGGTGGTGGTAAGAGTATGGTGATATGGTAGAGTGTGGTGTCAGTAGTATAGGTGGTGGTGGTAGCAGTAGATGATGGCAGTAGTGGGTGGTGGTGGCAGCAGTAGGAGATGATGGCAGTAGTGGGTGGTGGTGGTGGTGGCAGCAGTAGGAGATGATGGCAGGAGTGGGTGGTGGTGGCAGCAGGAGTGGGTGGCAGTAGGAGATGGTGGCAGTAGTAGCGGGGAAGTTCACAGCAAGAAAGTCAGAGTGGCTGTCTGCCAACCCCAGCCGCTTCACCTCACCACCACCTGCACCCTCTCTTACCCTCCTGGTGACCTCCAACTGGTGACCTTTAATTGGTGACATCTTACTGGTGACCTCTAATTGGTGACATCTTGCTGGTGACCTCTAATTGGTGACACCTTACTGGTGACCTCCTGTTGGTAACCTTTTCCTGCTGGTGACCCCCTCTAACTGCTAACTTCTTACTGGTAACTTCCTGCTTTTTACCTCTTGCTGGTGACCTCCTTCTATTAGTGACCTCCTCCTCCTCCTGGTAACCTCCTTTTACTGGTGACCTCCTCCTCCTGGTAACCTCCTCTTACTAGTGACCTCCTCATACTAGTGACCTCCTCCTCCTGGTGACCTCCTCTTACTAGTGACCTCCTCCTCCTGGTAACGTCCTCTTACTAGTGACCTCCTCATACTAGTGACCTCCTCCTCCTGGTGACCTCCTCTTACTAGTGACCTCCTCCTCCTGGTAACGTCCTCTTACTAGTGACCTCCTCATACTAGTGACCTCCTCCTCCTAGGACCTCTCACTAGCAGACCTCCTCCTCCTGGTGACCTCCCCACAGTGACCTCCTCCTGGGTAACCTCCTCTCTACTAGTGACCTCCTCCTCCTGGTAACCTCCTTACTAGTGACCTCTCCTCCTGGTAACCTCCTCTACTTTAGTGACCTCCTCCTCCTGGTGACCTCTATCTACTAGGTGACCTCTACTAGTGACCTCCTCCTCCTGGTGACCTCTCTACTAGTGACCTCTCCTCCTGGTGACCTCCTCTTACTAGTGACCTCCTCTCATTTAGGTAAGTGACCTCTCCTGCAGGACTCCTCCTCCTGGTGACCTCCCTCTCAATAGTGACCTCCTCCTCCTCCCAAAAAGATAGCACCAACCTTATCGACAAAGACAAACAAACACTTCAAGACTCCCTCTCCTCCTCCCTCCTCCTCCTCCTCCCTCACCTGAAAGTTCATTACCAGTCAGTCCGAGGCTGAGGTAACTACTCTAACTACCCTTTCACATCTTAATTGGTAATTAAAGAAGATAAATCTAAAACAAAAGTAGTTCCTAATATTAGATTGTATTGGAAAATTTATCAGCTTTAAATGTTAAGCTTAATAAACTGCCCTTGTAAGTTTGAAGTGATTTGACTTAATTATTCTCAAGATATTAAATGGACAAACTATATATGAGAGGGAAAAAAGTCACAGAAAACGGAAGATAAAAAGTCTTAAGAGGGGAGACTTAAGTAATCATCGCCATCAATTTAAATCACCAGCTGCGGCATAGACACCAATATCATATTAATAATTATCACCATTACTCACCATTATATGTCACCAGTCACCATTTATTCTAATTATTTTCTGTTCTCTCTTGTTGGAAAGTCGATTGAGATTTTAACCTGAGAAGCCAACCTTACCGCTGTCACAACCGGTTCTTCCTCATTTACTCATATTACCTAACCACAACCACGTCATATCTACAAAACCACGTCACGACTACAACCACATCACAACCACAATTAGATCGTCATAACTACAACCAGATCACCACAACTATTATTAAAGCACCACAACCATAACCAGATCACAACAACCACAATTAGATAACTACAACCACAATTAAAGCACCACAACTACGAGCACATCACCATACTCGCAATTAAATCACCGCATCACAACCACAATTAGGTCACTACAACTACAACCCATATTATTAAACCCACAAATAAATCACCTCAACTAAATACCTTACCTTGCTTAAATCACCTCAACACGTCCATTGTATCACGTTACTACAACCACAACCCTTCAACCATAACCACAACACTTCAATCACAACCACACCACTTCAACCAATACAACCACACCACTTCAACCACAACCAAGATTCCACTTCAACCATTAACACTTCAATCCATAAACTCAACCCACACCACTTCAACCACAACCAGATCACTTCAACCACAACCAGATCACTTCAACCACAACCAGATCACTTCAACCACAACCAGATCACTTCAACCACAACCAGATCACTTTATTCGCAAACAACAAGATTTGCTTCACCGCATTTGTTATCAGACTGAATTACGACGTTGTAATAACCAGATTACAACCTTACTGTCACTACAAGATAACACTGATTTATACTCTCTCTCTCTCTCTCTCTCTCTCTCTCTCGGCATTTTACCGTATAAGGCATCAACAACACTATCATTAGCTAGGTATAGAAGGACACTCATTCACCATCATTATTAACCCAGTACCGTCATGTCGTCACCGTCACAATCTCACCACCATCACGGTGACGTAAGAGCCGTGATGATGAAGGGCCTAAAGGATGTCGTCATCAAGTAGACCTCCGTGTCACCCGGTAATTGGTGTGGTGGTTAAGGCCCGGAGGATATCGCCAGGAAGGCCTCCGCGTCACCACGTAATTGGTATGGTGGCCAAGGTCCTCACGTGTCATCAGGTACGCAGAAGTGGTGGTGAAAGCTGGGAGGAAGTTACCAGGAAATCCTCACGTGTCACCAGGTACGCGACAGGTGTCACCAGGCCCGGTAGTGTGTCGTCAGGATCCTGGCTGATAACACCTTTATTCTCCACAGTGGCAGGTGAAGGCGCTGGCCTCCGGGTCCCTGGAGTCTCTCCACCACCGCCTACCTTACCTGCCGCCTCAGCCAGCCCAGCCACTGTCAGCCAGCTCAGCCGCTCAGCCAGTCAGCCATTCACTAGCCAGTTTCTACCTACCGAGGAGCAGAGAACTCAGTTGCTCTGTGTAGAGCCAGCTGTGAGGTGGTGTGGTGTCGGCGTGGCGGTGGTAGTGACGGCTGCACTTACCTGCTGTCCACTAACCACACGTGCTGCTCAGTACCGCGGTTGCCATTGGTACATATCCTCGTTGTGTTTCTTGATATCAAGAAAATAATAATCTCCGTCGCAGAGTTGTGGAAAAATATTATAAAAGACAAATGATTGTGTGTTTGTGTGGAGGAAGTATTACGAGGCGTTTGTAATGCTTCACGTGGGTAAATAAGTATGAGAGGGTGTAGGACACGTTGATAAACAATAGCGGCGTGTTCGTCTCTCTCCGTATCACCCGACTGTGAACCTCCCCCTCCTTCCATCTGGACCAGCCAGGGTTTGTAACACAAACCACAGGTGCCACAGGAGCAGCACCAACACCGTGTTTGTTGTGTGACGGCTGCCTCCACTCCTGTAGTCAATGGTACTGGTGGACCACCCGAGTGTTTGGTACATAAACACGGTCGTGGACTTGTAAGCAGTGTGGCAGTACTGAGGTTATGGAGCAAAAACTTGTGGTCTGCTCCCCCACACTCCCCCATCCAGCTCGGGCTGTGGTGTGTATGGTGGGAGGAGAGGAGAGGAGGGAGCCGTCGACATGCCTAATGAACAAGTTTTAGTATAGGAATGTGGCGGACGTCCACAGGGGCCACGCACACTAACACTCACTTGAGCACGAGGAAGACCTCCTCGGAATGGTGGTGTGATTAGCACAAATGACTACAATTATTATGAGGTGACGTCTGCCCAGTGCATACAGTTATGCCACTGTTGAAGAAATACAGGTAGAGTAACCAGAAAGTACTTATAAGTCTGTTTGTTCTTGTGATGAAACACTTGGTAGAGAACCTTAGTCATCCATCACCAGAAAACTGTCATTAACTACATGCAACATTATGGTCGAGTAGTTGCGAGAAACATTGAACCTTGAGGTGTTTTCAATGATGAGTGGTTCCTATATTTACACGGCACACAGGTAGTCTCAGGAGTATGGAACGACTGAGCTACTCAAGGAGAGACTCACTACATAAATATGTCACGTGCCACATTCCTGCCACGTAGACATTGTTGCTGTGACATAAAACAATCTAGATGGTAAGGAGGTGTTTCTGTGTGTGTGGGTGTGTCTCATAGCACTGCTCGCTCTCTCTCTTTCTCTCTGCCTGCACACACACACACACACACACAGATGACGACAGAATAAATAAATTTTTCGTTAGAGTTTTAGCACTGCCAATTTCTACACAACACAGCAGAACAACAACAGCCATCATCACCACCACCACCAACAGCCTCCTCTTAATCTCCTCCCCTCCACTTTTGTTTACACTCTTGCTTGACGTCATATATGCGTTAAGGAGGAGGTGTTAAGAGCATAATACAAGGTGGTGATTCACACGCACCAACAACATAATCTGACCACTAACATGATATAGTCACCATGATATAGGAGTCCCCCTAACATGACCTGACCACTAACATGATACAGTCACCATGATATGCAGTTACTCGCTGTGGTTTGCATTCAGCCATCATGTGTTACGGCAGAGTTGAATGGCATAGTATTTGGTTTTATGTGAGGCGGGCACATAACATTGTTAGTATGAATGAGAATGATATAACACAGACAAGGTGATATGGTTGTGTTAGGCGTTGTGTTATGAGCATTGAACTAATTATATTGTATTGTTCAATGTATGTATGTATTGTATTCATTTATGTTCAGTTGTTCATTAATATAAAATTTTATGGTATTTATGTTCATATAGTAATTTAGAAACAATAATTATTTAATATAGATCAAATATATTTTTAATTTTTCATTGTCTAAAATTATCACCACTGACAAATTTTTTTTTTGAGGGAGTAATTTAAGGTCAAATTTAAAGGTCATTTTTAAAGGTCAACCAAAACACAGTATATAAGAAACCTTTAGCAATTGATAGTGAAATAATTGTGCTTTTAAATGGACCAAATTTGTGATTTTTTTTTAACACTGGGGAAGTATTTTTTTTTTTTTAGGTTGAATTTGGTTGATAAGATCACATTTTAATGGTGTTTTAAAGGTCTGACGCCACACTATAAAACTGCCTTGTTAGAACTGTTTGGATTCCAGACAGTGTTTTAACGATCCGTGAGTGGGTGGGGAGGGTCGTGTGTGTGTGTGTGTGGAGGGTCGTGTGTTTGTGTGTGTGTGGAGGGTCGAGTGTGTGTGTGTCTGTGTGTTGAGTGCATTTAAAGGATGAGATAGAAAGCATTTTTAAGGGCGATTGCATTTTAAAGAGGTCGAATGCATTATGGGTATGAGATTGACTGCACTCTTAACGTTGAGTACATTTTAAGGATGAGGTCGAGTGCATTTTAAAGACGAAATGGAGTGCATTTTAAACGTTGAGTACATTTTAAAAGAGAAGATTGAGTACATTTTTGAGATCGAGTACATTTTGAGTGGAAGGTGCAGACAGACTAAGGCGTGCGGGAGAGACACTACCAAGTCGACTATATTCTGTGACATATTACCTTTAGCCATAACACTATGTAGATCAGCCTAGCCCTATACCTGTAGGTGTGATGTGCGTATACCTGTACATTATCTATCTGGTGTGCGTATACCTGAACACTAGGTCTGATGTGCGTATACCTGTACCCTATAGGTCTGGTGTGCGTATACCTGTACACTATAGGTTTGATGTGCGTATATCTGCACACTATAGGTCTGATGTGCGTATACCTGTACCCTATAGGTCTGGTGTGCGTATACCTGTACACTATAGGTTTGATGTGCGTATATCTGGTCACCTCTACCTGTTCTCTCGTCTACCTGTGGGACATATACTTTCACAGTTATAAAAGCTCCCTCTCGCTACCCTATAAGAGGCGGGCATCAGTGTATGCAGATTTTAGATTTTTTTTTTTGCTTTAAAGTGCTCCTGAGGGGGCTAGTTTATTGGGCACCCCCTTACATCTTGTGCAAGGTGAAGTGCAGACGTGTTTACAGCGCCCATCTGGGAAGCATGCGGAGTTCATGCTTGCGTATGCAGACTAGCAGGAGCCTTACCCGTTTGTGATTAACATATCCTTCTGCCGTACGCACACACACACACACACACACACAGGGTTCGTTGTCTTCCCCCACACCAAGGTCGAATTCCGTTGCTCGAATTATGAAAGTAGTTCTTAGGTGTGTGTGTGTGTGTGTGTGTGTGTGTGTGTGGTCAGGAGAGCTGGATCACATGAACATTAGTACCCCTAAGCTTATTTCACCTGAAGATTAACTCACCCTAACGTAAACCTAACTTGACCTTGACTTAACCTAGTCAAATCCAACCCAACTTAACCTAACCTAACCTTCTCGAACCAAAAGTAATCTCACCTTACCTAATATGACCTAACCTAACTTGGTGAACGTAACTTAACCCTCTCCCCCTCACCCCTCCCTCTCCACCCTCACCTCTCCCCCTCCCTCACCCCTCCCTCACCTATCCTCCCTCACCCCCTTCCCTATCCCCCCCTCCTCCTCACCTCACCCCTCTCTTCCCCTCCCTCTCACCCTCCCCAGGTATCGTTAGGATTGTATTTCATCATCAGGTGAAATACTCTAAGTTGATTGGCTAATCTTCATGTGAATCGGAGAACGAGTGTCAGGGTGTGTCAAGTGTGTGTGTCAAGTGTATGTGTCAGGGTGTGTCAAGTGTGTTTGTGTGCGTCAGGGTGTGTCAAATGTGTGTACGTGTCAGTGTGTGTCAAATGTGTGTACGTGTCAGTGTGTGTCAAATGTGTGTACGTGTTAGTGTGTGTATGTGTCAGTGTGTCAAGGTGTGTCGTGTGTGTGTGTGTCAAGTGTCATGCCTATCACTAGAGTCCGTAGCATTCCTGATTTATTTTTGTTGTTTATGGAAGTGATTCTGACGTATTATTATTATTATTAATTACTGACGCCTAGTAAAAAAGCTTTAGACAATCTTGTGGCATACAGGTAAATAAAAGCTTTGGCCCTCGTTATTATGGTTAGGTTAGGTCAGGATAGCCTTAGGTTAGGTTAAATTAGGATATATTTAATTTGGTTATTTTTGGAAACGTTTAAGGTGACTTGGGTAAAAACGTTCCTCGCTATAACAAACAGAAGGTAATAATATTCAGAGGTAAACGTTATTGTTGTGGCCGGTGTTGTGAGTATTTGGTGGTTGTGGTGGTGACGATGGTGGAGGTGGTGGTGTTGGTGGAGGTGGTGGAGGAAGGTGGTGGTGGTAAGGGTGGAGAAGGAGTGGGGAATGAAGAGGAGGTTGTAGTGATGAGGCTAATGGAGGAGGAGGAGGTGGACGCTGCTCTCTACTCGACGATGACCTTGGCCAGTTTAAAGACAGTGGGTGAATAATGGCCCAACAAGTGTTCAACCCACCCCACCCTCCCTCAACCCACCCACCCACCCACCACACTGACATTGTACTAAGTAAGCACAACCCCCCACCCCCCCCCTCAGAATATAAAACAGCGTTCTTACACAACATCCAGCAGTCAGGTCAGGAAAGGCAAACACCTAGCTGGGAAGAAAAAAACAGCTTAAAAAACACGGAACACGGGAAAAAAACATGTTAGGTGAGCGAAGAGAAGTGCTACTGTGGCGGGAAAGATCTACTGTAGTACTTAATATAACTACTACTTATTGCTACTGACGGTGGTGGTGAAGAAGGTTGTGGTAAAGGTGGTGGTGTTGGTGACTGTAGTTCTGGTGGCGATAGTGATAGTAGTTGTGGTAGCGGTAGTAGTAGTAGTTGTTGTAGTAGTAGTAGTAGTAGTAGTAGTTGTTGTTGTGGTAGTAGTTGTAGTTGTGGTATTAGTTGTAGTTGTGGTAGTCTCCCGTTACCTGGCCGGGGTCGTGTAGGCTCAAGTAACCTCACCGTAACACGATTGATACGATGAATCCACGGAGATACAGGAACTGGTCTCCTTTCTTTTATGTGGGTGTAGGTCCTGCTGTGTATGTGGTGTGTAGGTCATGCTGTGTATGTGGTGTGTAGGTCGTTCTGTGTAGGTCCTGCTGTGTATGGGGTGTGTAGGTCCTGCTGTGTATGTGGGGGTGTAGG